AAAAATTAACTGGACTCAAGGAACATGAAAGAGCTTTAAGGCTACGACAAATAAACTCAGCAGAAATTGCCGAAAACAATCACGGAACCGGACATAAAATTTTCTTCGATAAAACTAAAATTCTTGCATGTAATCAATTCTTCTACCAACAAAAAATCCGAGAATCGATAGAAATCTATAAGCAACCAATCAATCTACCAATCATCCGAGATAATATTTATGCACCTCCTTTAGGCCCATCCGCCCTCAAACAATATTTAAGCAGGTACGGCGTAGACAGGATAACAGCATGATTGGCGAAAAAACAGCAAGTCCGATTCAAAATAGTGTGGTAAAAATGGTCAAAAATAGCAGCAAACCATTTGTATTAGTATCTAATTTACAATATCGACTCTATACTACACACTTTAACAGATTTAATAAAACTTCAGAATTCATATTTAATTATATTATTATTATATTTAATTAATATTAATTAGTTAATTGATGGAAAATAGCTAATAACAAAAATAAATAATTAAAGTTTACAGGTTAACTAAACAAGGTAACAAATTTGCATAAATAAATCTATAAAACAAAAATTTAACTAAAAAGAGTTCGACAATTCGGTCTATAAAGTTTAGTTAAAACTGTTAAGGTATAAACAAACTTTGAAATTTCCGTTTTTGTTCTTTTTCATATAACTGTTTAAACAGTTCATAGTTGTCAATAGAAATAACTATACAGTTAATGACCTTAAGGAAAAAATTAGACAACAGATTCTTGCTTTAAATGATAGCGATGCGGTTAGAAATGCGATCTCCAGCATTATGACACGCTATACAATGTGTATTGCAGAGAATGGACAATCTATTGAAAATATATTACACTATCACCATATTTAAGTTTTTTTTATAGTTATTTGTTTCTGTTTTTGTTTTATAGATTTATATATTCAAATTTGTTACCTTGTTTAGTTAGCCTATATTCTTTAATTATTTATTTTTATTATTAGGTATTTTCAATAAAGCTAAATAATTAACTATTAAATGTTTCTTTAAATATGAATTCTAAAGTTTTATTCAAGTTTTGTTAAAGTGTGTACTATAGAGTCGATTTTTTTCAAAATTTCGACGTATTAATGGACACCTTGGATTGTTAGCAACAGGTTTCGTTCGTATATCTGGAGTATTATATGTTTAAAAGAAGTAGTATCATGCCTTTGCCAACAATTCATACTTTATTTATCTTAAACTTCGAATTGATATATGAATAAAAATATAGGGTGTTCCATTTGAAAATCTTGCCGCCTATTTGGAACACCCTGTATAACCTGAGGCGGATCTGTCAAACTGATTGAGTAGTGCATCAACCTTTTAGTCTGTTGTTAAATTTTCATTGCAATACTTGGATCAGTAGCGTCACAACACAATTTTATATGGGCCATTCGAATTATGAAAAAAAAAACACGTAACCTCAATTTCTGTCTATGCAAAATTCGAATGGGAATTTCTTGAGAAAGTGACCAAAGAGTTCAAAAATGTCGAAGTATACAATGTGTTCTAATTAAAGTAACAAAGTTGATGTCGGTGGGACAGTTTTCGCACACCCTGTATCATCAAAATTATAATATTTCAAATCTTCAAGAGAGTCCAAGAATCTTTTGTTCGAGACTTTGTTCGTATTTCCAATGGGTTTCCAGATCGTATAGTGGATCTTTTTATTTGGTGTACGTTTGCCTATGGCCGATACCGAGATTGAGCGGAACTCGTCATTATTTTGTATTTCATTAATCTGAAATTTTCTAAAACCTGAAGAAAATTAAATTCCCTATCAAAATATGAAAGGAAAAGTTACGACAATTACTGAGTGCAATAAACCTTAAACTTTTCCAAATATTTGGAATTTTTTTTCTCCACTGTTACAGTAACCTTCATAACTCAGATTCACTCAATTGAAGAACTTAATCATATTACTTTTTTATACGACTTTCTACATACGGAGTAAATATCGGATTCCCTACAGAAGAAAGGACGAGTCGGGGTAGCTCATGGGTTTCAAGATTTAATTATTTTAAGGGGCTTGATTTGAATATCCGATAAATTTCTATATTAGGTTCATCGGATTTTTTCCATTGAGTAATTACTTTCTAAAAAGTCGTCGATCTTTTAATCTCTTAATAATTATATTAAAATAAAAAATAATTAAAAAGCAAGTTGATTCATCGACAACCGACGCAGGAGTCATCCAGAAGATTTGCAGCGGGTGATCATTTATAATATATATAATAAAAAACTTTTTAATTTAACGTTTAGGAAAAAATGTCAAATACATTCATGTTAAAAAGTTGTTCCAAAAATAGTAAGCTATTTGCAAATAACCCACAGATGAAAGGTAATGGTGTATCGTGTATAGTATACGCTTAATAAAATCGCCTTGAAATTCTGCACACTCCTTGTATGATATGTCCTTTACCCAAATCCAATGTGAGACTTTGAACATAAAGGCAACGTTCAAAAATTAAATAATACTCTAGAATTAGGTGGCTGTGAAATAGGTCCTCACCAAAAAACAAAATGTTTGCTTATAACTGACAGTGATAGTTACACATTGAGCAAAACTATGCTACTGTTATCATATATTAAATGTCTTACTCGCAAAGAAAAAAAAAGAATTTTGGAAACGTTTATTAGACCAAATAAGAGGGCTAACTTGGCTCAAAGGGAATTACGTGTAATTAACCCGCGATGCCACGTTTCAAACAAAAAGCTTTCATCGGACCTACGAAAGATTTCAACAACCAGAAAGAAGAGAATATTTCGTATAATAATACTAATACCGAAGTATCTGTATCCTATACCTAAATTCAATAGTTTTGGAAGTATTTGTTAACTTAAACGCAACATTAAAAAATATTCTAGAACTAATAGGTATAATAAGGGGTGTTTTTTTTTCGATGTATAGAACTTTAAGTTGCAATAAAACAACAATGGATTATTCGATTGGCAAGAATTTTATTTATCCGAAAGATAATCTTGTGGCATTACATTTTAAATATGATTTCTGGCATATGACCGCCACGGCTGGCGCGGATATAGTCCAATCTGGATGTCCAATTTTCGATGACTTTTTCCAACATTTGTGGCCGTATATCGGCAATAACACGGCGAATGTTGTCTTCCAAATGGTCAAGCGTCTGTGGTTTATCCGTATAGACCAATGACTTTACATAGCCCCACAGAAAGTAGTGAAATTAGGCGGTAACCATACGTGTCTTTCAATAAATCGATTGTGGCACGAGCTGTGTGACATGTTACCCCGTCTTGTTGAAACCACATCTCCTGGACATCATGGTTATTCAATTCAGGAATGAAAGAGTTAGTAATCATAGCTCTATACCGATCACCACTGACTGTAACTTTCTGGCCATCATCGTTTTTGAAGAAGCACGAACCAATGATTCCACCAGCCCATAAAGCGCACCAAACAGTCAGTTTTTCTGGATGTAGTGTTTCGACATACACTTGAGGATTAGCTTCGCTCCAAATGCGGCAGTTTTGTTTTTTGGCGTAGCCATTCAACCAGAAGTGGGCTTCATCACTAAACAAAATTCGCTTATGAAAATCGGGAACAACGGCAATCTCGTTTTAGGCCCATTCGACGAATCTACGCCTCACTTGATGATCGTTTGGCTTCAATTCTTGCACGAGTTGAATTTTGTAAGCACGTAAACCAAGATCCTTCCGCAAAATCTTCCATAAAGTAGATGGACACAGATCTAATTCCTGTGCTCGATGGCGGATGGACTCATTCGGGTCTTCCTCAATGCTACGCTCTACAGCAGCAATAGCTGCTTCTGTACGCACCGTACGGCGTCTCTGGGGATGCGAGTTATCAATAAGAGTAAACGTGGTGCGAAAACGTTCCATGGTTAATCAAATTAACTGCTCTGCTGGACGATTTTGTCGACGATAAAATGGACGTAGTGCGCGATACGTATTCCGCACAGAACCGTTATTTTCGAAATAAAATTGCACTATTTGCAAGCGTTGTTCAGGCGTGAGTGTATTCATGATGAATTGCCAAACCAAACTGAGAATAAATCACATGACAGCTGTTAAATCGGTAGCCATCTTGAACAGTAATGCCAACTTAAAGTTCTATACATCGAAAATAATAACCCTATATAATATGTAGGTAATTGTAAATAGAATTGTCCAACTGATCCCCCATTTTCTTCAATTCATCTGTTGTATGTTCTCCGTAATCGTTCTAAAGCGACAGTGATAGATTGGGACTATTCTTCATTTAGAATTTGAACTTCTGTTCTAATCATGTTTTTTAGATGGTTTCTGTTTTCGATGGCATTTGCGTTTACACAATGTTTTAGAGTTCCTCATAAAGATGCATCTATCGGCGTCAGGTCAGAACTGTTGGGTGACCTTTTTATTGTTCCAATTCCAATTGTTCCCAATCCATTCAATAAATCTTTGATTTAAATAGTCTTTAACAAATACTATACGATGAGGAAAACACCGTCTTGTTGAAAGACTAGGTTCTTTAGTTCAGTTCAGGTCAATATTTTTTCGATTATATATTATATTATATAGCACTGGTTGAAAACGATGACTAGCATGATATCTTGCAAAAAGCTTAGTTAGCTTAAAAAACTGTTATAGGTGTAAGAATAGCTAAGCTCAACTTCGCTTTAGGGCTAACAAGACAATATAATTCAAGCTGATTTTTGAGAAACCTTTCCAGATTTCCAGATGTGGTAGAAAAGGCGAAAAATGCTAATCCGGGGCTAATATCGTCCAGTTGGTTTTCTCATTCAAATAGTCACAAAGCAACACGAACTAAAAATATAAAGATGGTCGTTTTCCATTCCCCCTACAACTGCGCTAAAGGTTGCTTAAATACCAGGAATGCTACAGTCCTGGCAACAGAAAGCCAGTTATTGTTGACTTATTTATTATATACAATTTTATAAAATGAGTCAACATTTTTCTTCTTGATTCTAGAATTTTGGGAACATCACTTTTCCTGTCGCTACCCCAACAGCTCGAAGACACCCTACAACATTAGATATACAAAGAACTGCACGGGCAAGGAAAAGCTCACCGAGGAAAATATCGTATTTGAGGATCAACTTCAGTTTGTCTCAGATGCCGTCATGGCGTTCGCTTACGCCATAAGGTAAATTTTATCTCCTTTTCTTCCATATTTGTTGAGATAAGAAGTACTATTAAACATTTTTGTCTCACAATTACTAAAAGAAAAGACCATCTTGTGCTTTTCATGCCATATATGATCAAGGTTTTTATTAATTCCATACATTCCTTTGAGGTAATGAAGAAATTTAACTGCATGCTCTCTTTGTTCCTCGCGGACTTTAATGACTAGAGGGTAGTTTCTAGAAAGTTTTCAGTACTTTATTATAACGTTTCAGCAAGATCTAAATTTTTTAAGTAAAGAGTAAGTATTTTGTTACAAAAAGAATTCACAATTTCAATTGCGAACTGAAGTGACTGTAGTCCAATAAATTTAAAAAAATGCCAGTAAAATCTGGGCCCTAACTTGGCTAAGGTAAAGAAGTTATAAATAGGTACGAATCTGTAAAATGTTATATATAAATAATTTTTATTTTTAAAATTATTTTTAGAAATTGTATTGATAATATAATAATTTTCTATGATGTAGAATACGAATTTGATCCATTGAGTTAAAAGAAAATTGTGGAATAAACGAAAAAAAAAAACAAATATTTCATTTTTTCTTCAAGTTCAATCTTGATAAACTGTTTAAAAAATAACATAAAATATTAAGAGACCTTTCTTGTAGATCATTAAATTCCCTTTAAAAATTGCAAAAATAAAAAAGTTAATTCAAAAAGATTTATTAATGTCTAAGGCTTTATTTATTGGAAATAACTTGTCTGTTTTTTTATAGAGAATTTAATTTCCTACCAAAATATATTCCGAGAGATATTTTTACCTCATTGGTTTGGTTATTTTGACGCAATAATGGACTAAAAAATCCAAAATATATATAATAGACTTCTCATAAATATTAAAGGCTCACATTTTTTGCGTTTTTCTGAATTAGTATAGTCAAAATTAATTCCAGTATTCCAGTTGTAAATATATTAAAGCTCTTTTTAATACCAACACAAAAATATTTTCTCTGTAACACTTTAGTTCTTTCGCTGTTTGATTACGCCAATGTGGTGAACGGAGAATGGCTTTCTTGCACAAAGTAAAAAATCAATTCAAAAACTCTAAAATTCCTGTCTGCTATTTGCTTTTAACGCACCTTACCGTAGTGATATATCCATCTCCTTTTCTAAATAAATTCAATATTTTAAACATGAGCAATCAAAGGAAACTACGTATGCATAATTTGATTATAGAATTATGAAATCAGGTAAACCGATTTATCTAAATGAGCTTTTCAAACTTCTTCCACATTCCCAAAGAACAAGTAATAATTCAACTGACATGATAGGTCGTTGTAGAACGTCAGCATTTCAGAGATCATTTAATGTGGCAATGAAGATTTGGAATAGTGTTACTAATTAGATAAAAAAATGAGGGATGTTTGACTACACTAAATTAAAAAAATAAATAAATTACTTACAGAACAAAATCTGTTTTCACAATAATCGAATTAAATTTAAAAAATGTTGTCGTAATATGTTTAAACTCCCACATCAGCGTCGTCGTCGATTGGGGTTTTGGGTCTCTTTTTTCTCCGTTACTATTAACACTTGAAATATCCATTTTTTCCATTGTCCTTCTCGTTTTTCGCTTTTGTATTTCTTAGAAAGTTTGTCAGATGTATATTTTTTCTCGAATATTAGTCTTGCAATATTCTCGTATTCTTCTAGGCTTCGATGCTATGTTAGAACTGGATATGATTTTGATTAGCATGAGTATATAGGGTTTTCTCGCACACGAGTGTTTGTGACGGCGGCTACAATCGAGAGGAGCTCTTTTTATCACAATTTGGTACTTATGAAATTGTTTTTCTTCTTGGACAAACAAAGAGAATTATTATTATTACTAAGAGTTGTGTACTCTTGGTGCAAAATAATTCTACAGAGCGTTGTGAAACGGTTTTTGATACGAAGCTAAACTCAAAGTTGATATTGCTTATTGTTGGGTAATTTTTTATTCTCTGTTTTTTTTTTAACAATATACTTTCGAATATACAATATTTCCGTTTCTTGGAATGGTACTAACTAACCAAAACGAACCAAAACTTACCAATACTAAATGCTAGCAATTTTACATCATCCCAAAATTTCATACGACAGATGGGACTGTACTAAGGAGACATGGAGTTAGTTGATTTTTTCTAAACATTTACCAAGGCATTTAAATTTAAGCACCAACCCCCGTATTTTGTTGTATATATTCTTTGCTTGTACTATTTCATGTGTATTATTTATTCTTAAGAAATAAGGTTTGGTGAATGAGTTTTATAGATTGCAAAGGGTAGTATTCAGATTTTCTAAAATATTGAGTTTATTTATTTTAATCCAGCATTTTATGATTTAGAAATCTTTTTGAAATGTAGTTTTAAATTCTTTCCAAGTATATGCCGTGAAGAAAAGTGTAGTGTCATCAGCAAAACCTATTTACTAATAGATTTTCATTCTAACAAGTCATATACCAAAATATCACCGACACCATCAAATATTTTGCCTTGATTATTTTGCCCAAACGTAGAGCACAAAACAACACTCTCTTGCTCATTTGGACTAAAAAGTTTGTCTGTGCGTATGACTAACCAAAAAACCCAAATATATTGAAAAATATCATACATACCATTGTTGGCAATATAACTCCTATTTTATCAGCGATGGAACAATTACAATCGATGTCTTCTTTTCGCCGTTTCACCGACAGCGGTTCTATTTTATTTATAGACGCCGGGCCATGTCGCACCATTAAAATATAAGAAAAGGAAAACGGTACAGGATTCGATAGACATGCAGTTCAGTCCTGACGATAATATATAGAGCTTATATAGCTGGGTTACACCGATGGCCATTTATTTTAGATTAAACTTTCAATGGGAATTACATTTCGGAGTAAAGCTTTCTGCTTTGCAAATGCACTGAATATATGCCCCTATAAATGCAATATGAGATCGCCGGAATATGCCGCTGGAAAGAATATAATATCCAGTTTATTTTTATAGCACAACATTTAATGGAACTAGTACTAGACGTCTACTATGAAGTAATAACCTATAAATGGGAAGTTCCACTCTTTATCAAGTTTTGTAAAAATCAATAGACTTTACGCTATAGTAACCGTAGAGACCATAAAAATGATTCAAAATAATTATTAAACTAAATTATTGCAAAAATAAAAAATGAGAAACGTACCAAGGATATAAAATTTGGCGCCGTGCATTTGTCAAAGGAAAGGTCCGAATTTCGTCTAAACCGAGTTCAGAAAAACGTTAACAACTTGTGAGCCCTTAAGTAAACAAATGAAGGTTTGGTTTATTTTAAAAGAAATAATATAGAAGTGACTGGCTATAAAAAAGTCAAATAATTCCACATGATTTTCATCTTTTTATGAGACTCTTCAGCACTGATAATATGTTCTTAGGATTTTCCTACTTTTTATTAAATTAAACGTTAAAATAAACGTTAAAAATATGAACAAAACTGGTTAAAAAATTATTAGGTTGTTGCATAAGATCAAGTATAATGGAGAAATGTGAGATTGATTATTTAAACAACCAAGTTGTAAATTTGTAAAATTTTTTCAAGTAGATCTACGTGCAAACGTACCGCCGATCAAATCGCATGCAAGTCCTGTCATTTATTTCAGTTCTCTTTTAATTTAGGGGTGTAAAATGAATTAGGTTCGACGAGCCAAGCTTTTACTCATATAAACTAATTACCAAATTTGGCAATAAAAAGAAGTCTACTACAAGAGGCTCAGAATGGAATTCAAGATAAAAGAGAAAATATAAAAGGGAACGAGTAAAAGAGATAGCATTGGAAAATTAAATCAAATCAAGCCTCATATTGACTCTTTTCATTTTACTCAGTGGCACTATAAATTGGCACATGCACCCGAAAGAACATACTCCCAAAACGATTTCCAGCATCAAGCTAGTGTCTTATGAAATACATACAAAAGTATTTGCTTTACAAGATGACTGCCTGTTATACGAAAATCGCATGCATGAAGTAAATGGGAGCATTGTAAAGTAACCATTTGTAAACTATGATTAATGAAAAAAGGCAGCCAAACACATTCTTTATTCCTGCTCCTCAAGTGTAACAGGAAACAAGGAGTACCTACTATACAAAATTTGCATCTGCAATCAGCGTTCGTCTTGTCAATTCAGGCAGGATCAAAAAAAAGAATGGAAAGCGTCTCAAATTTTCAATGCGATGCAAAAGAAATATTAAAAAAATCTGTTCGGTTTGATAGTGGGAAAATATAAATAAAGATCCATAAATGTCCGTGCGTTATTGATCTTTGATCTTTGAGCTTTGGACGAAACGTCAAACTTTAAAATGATTACATAAATAAATTACTAAATTGTATATAAAAATACAGATTTGCTTGTCGAAAAATAATATTTAAAATTCATAACTAATGTGACAAGTATGAAAATGTTTCGCTGCTTGTGCGACTGCTCACTGACTCTCAACCAATGGTCAATGAAAGCACTAAGACTGAAGCATTAAAATTATTTTATTATACCGGCATACCCACTAAAAGAGTGCTTTTTTGTCTATTTGTCGCCCTCTTTCCTGCTCTTGACCTTCTCGTGACTAATTTTCTTCATTTTCGACCATCTTCGACACCAACGTGTTTGAATCTTCTGCTATATATATGCCCGTGTAGTAATATATGCTGCGATGATCACAATATGGACAAGCCTGAAAGACTGATATGAGCTTTTTCGTCCACAGGACAATCCTGACTGCCAGATGGTCAGTGCATTTTCACACCTGCAGCCAAATGACTAAGTTGATCTTCGTCTCTATGAAAAAAGTCAATTGAAAAAACATTTGCAACCACCGACGGTTCTTTCGTAAACTGAAGTTACTTGCCAAAATAAGAAGCTCTCCTTTTAGCGGGTGTTTATAGAAAAATGTTGTACATATCTTTCGCATGGTATGACTATTATTTTCAGTCTGTGTTGGACTCTATTTTGCCAAGATGGAAATGTTTCCTTTAGTTCTTTGTCTTGAATAGTGCCTAAATATCTGGCACTCCTTTCACGTTCAAGGTCATGGAGTTATAGGGCTGAAATTCCAAGCTTATGAAATATTATTTGATTGTGTTATCTTTATTTTTTTTGTTCTATTCCCACTTTAACTGATGAGGAGTGCTCAAAATGTCATATTAAGACGTCAGCTTCGTTTAATTCTGGTAATGATAATAACTTTATAGTTCTTCTATGACATTATCCACCTCCATCGAATCAAAGAAATTTTATTGTAATGACGTTATCATTAGTACCACAATGTATTCAACTTTCCAAAAAATAACAAAATATAGTATACTTCTCACGCCGTAACAAACTCGTGACTAAAGTGTTCATTACGCTTGTTGCATAACATACTCGTTCAAACGCTATAGCTGGTTTCAAAGATAAAAAAGTGTCTACCTAATTAATGCTTTTTTTATTTCCACGCCCTAATTTCTTAAATGGTTTTAAGTTGCGAAGCATTTAGGTTATGAAACTAACCGAAATGTCACGATTGACATAAACTTGCTTAGCTCTAATGTTGTAATTCTTAGTAATGTTCTGTAATCTTAACAACAATTAAATAATAATAAGAATTTTTCAGGGATATGCACGACGACTTGTGTAATGGCCGAGCAGGTCTGTGCGATGAAATGAAACCCACGAAGGGACCTGAACTACTGAAATACCTTAGGAAGGTTCATTTTGAAGGTGAGGAACAATAATTTATATAAAGTATCAACATGTTCTATTTGGAATTCATAATTCCCTATTGGTTTCTGCTTTTTCATGGTTTCATGCATTTTAATAAGACAATCAGCTCCAATCACTTTGTATAATCAGCTTTAAATAAGTCAAGTACCTATATTCAGTCTAACAGATCCGAGTTTTCTTTGACCCCACTACATTCACAAAATGAGAACAAAAAGTACATTTTATTTTGCGAGAAAAAGAAGAGACAAAAACATTCGACGAAAATTCGGACCCTTGGCTGCTTTTCCGACTTCTTCTTTAGTGCCCGTAATCATTAGTTGCATCGTCGAAAAGTAAAAGTTAAGAAAATAAATTACCCATGTTAATGGACGTATAAAATCCGTTCCTGTAAAACACAACTTCCTTAAACTGAAAAAGTGAAACAAGGTAAAAAAGTGTTTATTCTATGTTTTTTAGGCTTTCATTCATCACAGAACTTAGATTTAAAAATTATAAATTAAAATATTTGCTTACTTTTGACACATTATTCCCTTTCATTTTTGAAGATGTGCATGATATCTCATTGCCTCACTGCTGATTGAATTTAGTCACGTAGGGAGACTGTTCTCCATCGAACTCAAATATTTTCAGTGTCACAGAGGCTTCTCCGAAAAGTAGTAACAACTTTGATTTCTACATATAATGTTACTTTCAAAACATTTTTGTAAAACATTTCTTGATACCTATATCTATGGGTTGTCTATTTTATAAAGATGTAGAGTATTAAAACCTCATTAGTCATTTACATTGGACAACAGAGTGACCCAACGAATGCTTATGGCCGCTTTCATTGTTTACCACTCGGATTTATGCCATTTTGCCTAATGTAATCCATTCACCAACATTTAAAATGGTGTATCAAAGACCCCGGTAATAAAATAAAAAAGTTTAGCGTTACGTGCATTCTTTATTAAACATACAAACAAAAACTAACATAATTAAGTTATCAAAATCCATAATATCTTTCGTCATCTGAGGAATATTGTGATCCACTTGACATTATATATAAAGAGTCGACGCAGCAGAACGATCAATCAAGTAGTCAAGATCCTATATTTTCTCCTATTCGTTAATCCAATGAGTAATGTAGTTAAAGTGCATGTTAAACGAGTAATTGTAATCTAGGCTCTCCTTACCTGATGGAGCATGAGGCCCGCAGAGCGGACCTTAGATTGCAGGTTATCGGAAACTGGAAGCCAGGAACGGAAGGGCAAGGACAACTGCTACCTGTCTCAGAGGGAAATCAAAATAGCCACTCTATGAGGACGGATAGGATTTAGCCTACTTTATGGTTCCATTCGCTACAGAGAACGTGGACTAGTCTGGTACACGAATGGGTTTAAAACAAACACTGAATCATACACATCGCAGTTCTCCTAGAGCACAAATATCTGTGCCTCTTTGGATCTATCTCAGTATATTCCTATGTGATATTGGCGACAACACTGCATGCTCAAAAGCGTGCTGTATAAAGATTTTGGGAGGCATTTCGCTCTGCACTGGGATATTTTGCTGGATTGCAAGCGCAGTCTGAGTCCCGCTACTACGAATACTGCTGAGAACCGAAACAGGATATTGCCATCTAAGAACGTCATATATGGGGTGGACGACACTACATCCAGGCTCTGTTGGGAAGACAAGGAAACACCATTTCATTTACTAACCAGCTGCGTCCCACCGGAGATTAAAAGTAGTAGAAGCTCAATTCATTGAGCCCTAGAAACTACCAGAAACTATCCAAACTCCCCATGTACTGCCACTTAAAGGGCGAAGATGTGCGGGCATAATGGATCGAAAGGTCTGAATATAGCGCCCTGGGTATAAAGGACAGGGACGCGTCCCAGATGGAATAGTAATCTAAACTCAATAAACGTTAAAAAAACAAGTGTCACGTCCTGAAGACAAAATTCATACTGGACTACTGGTTCGCTGGTATCACTTCCTTGGTAATAATTTCTTGATTTCTCCAAGATGAAGTGGGCGTCTTCTCTATGCATCTTGAATGATAGCTTGCTTTATCTGTCCAATTACCACTGAATCAGCCTGAAGAAACTTTATCCTTCTGCGCTTCTAATATGGAGGATTATGTGTCTTCCCCTTTTCTCAAGGCACCATAATAACCATTGACAGGCCAATATCACATTCATTAATCAATTTTTCATCAACATAAACAATTTTCTTTTGCTCTCTTGGGTACTGCTTGGTCGTCAGCAAGCAATGTAATTCCTTTCCAATAAAAGTTTTCTAGTTATAAACGGAATAACTGTCATCCTGGTCCATATACAGTGGTCAAAAATGGCAAAGGTGAGTAGTTACGCAGTGACAATTTTATTGCACAAAATTTGACATGACAGACGCCGTAATTGAGCGGAAGTGGACGGAATTTCCTATTTTATTGTTGTGACCTTTTCTCTCGACGTTATTTTCCATATTTTTCGCATAAAATAAAACCGCAATCTAAATTAATAAGGTTTGGTTGAATATTTAAAAAATTAAAATTTTACCTGCAATTTACCTATTTCCTAGAAAGTAATGGCTTCTGCAATGTACGGAGTTTTTACAAAATTCTGATCTTCCTTACCCAAAATTGGCAAAATTATTATAAATATTTATATTTATTATAAAGTACTGAGAGGTTGTCAACAACTTTTTTAATTTCACATATCACCTAAAGGGTAAGATTTTCAATATAAAGCAGATTTGGATAGTTTCGATATATTTTAGATGAAAGTAATTCCTTTTATAAACAGAACACTGTTCAGGAATCCCTAGATTTTAAACCCGCAGTTTTTATGAGTTTGTTAACTTTAAGTGAGTAGACGACACACAATATTTCAGTTTGTATTTATCTATTTCTGTCTGTTTTTTTAATGTTGTTTTGTAGTAGATTCTATTTATTTTTACCTGTATTATTCTATTTTCAACTTTGTACATATGTGTATGTATAGAAATATGTTTTGGATAATAATTATTTTAAAACAGTTTATGGTAGGTCCTCTTTTTCTTCTTCTTGTAGTGCCGTAACCCTTGACGACTGTTGGCTATCATGCTGGTTATCATATTGAGGATTCGTGTCTTGTTTACCTGTGCCCAGTACAATTCCACGAAGGACTGAGCATTCCATTGACGTAAGTTTTTCAACCAGTATGTTCTTCTTCGTTCGAGGCCTCTTCTGCTGTTTATCTTTCCTCTAGTGATTAGATGTAGCAGTCCATACTTTTCGGGGTGTCGTATGATGTGTCCAAAATATTGTAGCTTACGTATTTTAATAACCACACTTACTTCTGTTTATTCGCATAGTCATCAAGGCTCCATGTCTCCATACCATACCACAAGACGGGAGCACTGGACCATCCTCATTCTAGGATTCAAATTGGTTTCCCATTTACACTGTTGCCTTTTGGTTCCAACACAGGTTTACAATTATTTCGATGTCTTTGTCATCTATTCCCATTGTTTTGAGTATTGCAATCATTTTTTCATGCTGAACTCTATCAAACGCCTTTTCAAAGCCAATGGCACAAGCGTACACATTGTAGTTAACTTATTGTAGGTACGGGTTACTAATCTATTGATTATTATAATATCTGAAAAACTGTGAAACCTACAAATAAAGTTTTGAACGTCGTCTACTACTTGCGAGGTTTCTATTAATTTCACCTAGTTTATTTTAAAAGGACAATTTTTGTTTGGGCTCGTAATATTGCACTACTAGAGGCGATATAACAATATAATGTGTAAACACCAGCTGGTGGATTCGAATCTTCGCCGTCCCGAGCAATCCATTTTGTTGTTACTTCGCTTCCTTCAGTTCAGTTTGATTAAAAATTCGACACAAAAATCAATCGGTTTGTGATCTTAGGAATTAAAGGCGTTGCGAAGACATTTCGTTTAATATCCTGTATATATATATATATATATATATATATATATATATATATATATATATATATATATATATATATATATATATATATATATATATATATATATGAAATGAGAGCAATCGTTAATTATAAAATTTAATATAGAAATAAAGAAAAATAGAATTTCATTATAAAAACTTTGTTTTATACTTGGCAACACAGAAAATAAATGGCAATTCTGACCAGTGTTAGATTACTTAATTAAAATTTACTTAAATTACTTAAATTTTTATTTAATTAAAATTTTCCGACTAGTTACTTTAATTTTCTTCAATCACTAAGTTAGGCTGTGAAAGTAGTTCCGTTCCAAATTTCTCATTTTAATTACTTGACCATGTATTTTTGATATGTAAGTACATATTTCTTTTCAAATATTGATATCTTTTTTAACTCAACTGTGGTATAGTCTTATCATGCGAGTCTTACGATTTCTTAACAAAAATATTAATGTTTGTTTTTCTTTTGTCTTGTTTAAATGTACCCTTTATTTTTAAGCGGTTTCAAAAGTTTTGATATACTGCTGTCAGTTTTGAGACTTCTTATAATTTTATGAAGCAATATGCTAAATAAAAAAACAATTTTGGCAACAAATCGCCAACTTGTATCCAAGAAATAGTAGCGAACAATTGAAGGAAGGAAGAAAAATAGAAGCTGGAAATGTGATGTACATAGATAAAAAAGTCTTGCAGTTTTGAAAGAAACTTTAAAAAGTCATAGTGTTTTGGTTATAATATAAAAATAAAAATAATATATTTTCTGTACACCCTAATAACTTAAGATTCTGATTAGGTAAGCTATTAGTTGCAAGTGTTTAATTTTATTTGTATGTAGATGAAATCTGTCTTAGAATGTTGTTGAGATGTTGTTATTACTTGTAATCTGCACATTATTGAAAGAAGCGATTATAAAAAAGGTCTGAAATCAGCAACTTCGTATAACTGTCTAAATATGTTTCTGGCTATTTCAACTTAGTTGGTGTTTGCTACTGCATTTGTGAACAACATAGCCTTCGTGTAGTCATTCTGCTATGCA